GGGCACAGGCAAGTGGGGGGCACAGGCAGCCCCTTGCCCCCATCTGCCTCCCCTCTGGCCACACTGCCAGCTCCCCTGCCACTGCTCTCATCGCTTCTTGGTGTCTCTCCCTCCTCCCTGCCACCCCCTCCTCATCCTCCTGGCAGGCCATGGGGTACATGGGGGTCCTGACTACCCCAGAAGACCCCAAGGAGCATCGGGGTGCCCAGGGGGAAGGTTCCTGTCCCCCAGAGTGCCAGGAGCTGGCTGCTGTCCCCACACCACAAGCTGTAAGCACTTGGGGTGCACAGGCCCATGGCTGTCCCCACTGCCATCCCCATGGCTGTCCCTGGGACTGTCCTCAGGGTGGTGGTCCATCCCTTGGGATGGCTGTGTCCCTCTCTCTTCCCACCCCTGCCATGCTTAGGGTGCATGTGTGTAGCTGCTGCAGCTTAGAGGCCTATGATGCTGAGTTGGGTGGTGCCACCTTAGACTGGCAATGCCACCAGTAGTGTCACCTCATTCTTTGGTCCCCAGATAAAGCGTTTCCTGAAGGAAGACTCGGATGAGGCTGAGCTGAGCCAGTTCCTGCGGGATTGCCCACCAGCTGACACCCCCAGGAAGGTGGAGCCCCCGGAGAGCAGGCGGGAGCCTGGCCACCCCCTGAGCAGTGTGGGCAGGGTCCCTCCTGAGGAATCTGCAGACGAGAGGGACTCCAGGATCTTCTCACGCTCTCGGCCTGTGGATTTCCAGCAGCACATTGCTGCCCCTCCACCCCCTAGCCCCAACCGCCCACGGAGCCCCTGGGGGCAGCTGGATCCCTATGACTCCTCTGAGGTGCAGGATGTGTCCATGGGGATGGGGGGGATACACACAGGGTGTGTGGAATCATGGTGGAGGATGATCCCATCCTCTTAACACAGTGGGTTTGGAGGTGGGATGTCAGCAGTCATGGGGTTTCTCCACATCAGCACAATGCCACCAAGCTGCAAGTGGCACCTGTGGGATGGTGTGACATGTGTCGAGAGCACAGGATATTCCAGCCCCTCCATGCTGGGGCTGTTGGAGAGCTTAAGTGGCCCCAGAGATTCACGGCCTCATCTTGTGGCACTCCAACCACAGGGATCCCCCGGGGAGTGTGGAGTCTGCCAGGATAAGGGGTGGGATGGTGTTGTCCTCTGTGCCATGTCCCCTCTGCCCGCAGGATGACAAGGAGTACGTGGGTTTTGCCACACTGCCCAACCAGGTGCATCGGAAGTCAGTGAAGAAGGGCTTTGACTTCACCCTCATGGTGGCAGGTACAGGGAGGGTGAAGCCTGGTTTGAGGGGTACTGTCCCCACTCTGGACCCCAAACACCATGGAATGTGGTGTAGGGGGGGTACTGGCTGCTCCCTCTCACCTTTTCCCCCTTTTCCAGGGGAATCTGGACTGGGCAAGTCCACCCTGGTCAACAGTCTCTTCCTGACGGACATGTACAGGGACCGCAAGCTGCTCAATGCTGAAGGTAAGGGGGAACAGTCACAGCCCAGGTGGGGTGAACTGGTGACACAGGGGGTGGCAGAGTCCCATGATGCTCCCAGGGGATCTGAACCCCTCTCCCTGCCCAGCAAGTTCCTCTGAAGCCACATGTGGCACATTGCCAGCTGCCTGCTGGCACTGAGGACTGCTCCAAGGCAGCAGGGACCCTCCTGCCCAGCATGGGGACCCCCCACAGGGGCTTTGTCCCCACAGGGAAAACAAGTCCTGGCTTGTTGGGGATCAGCAAACCCAGGAGGTTGGGGACAGTCAGAGTCCAGGGAATGGTGCCAGTTCAACTGCAGCCAATTATTGCATGAAAATGGCCCAAACTTGCCCAAATCTCCAGGAGTTCAAGGGGTTTGTTTGATTTGTTTCCATTGCTTGGAGCAAAAGCCAAAGCACACAATGCTGCAGGAGCATCCTTAGGGATGCAGGACAAGAAGGGGTCCTGGGAGTGAAGGGAGCTGTAGGGTCACACATGGGGGTACAGGGAGCCCAAAATGCCCCCACAGTGACACCCAACCCCAGCAGACCCCTGTGCTGCCCAAGCTGGGGTCCTGGGATGGTGGTGGCACAGCCACCAAAGGGTGGGTGTACATCCATGGGGGATCATGGCATGGATGGTCCATGGTTGGATGGTCCAAACTCTTAGAATGGACCATGGTGTGTGTTGGGGCTGGTCCAGCAAAGCCACCCCAGTCCCAGGGTTGGTGGTGCCACCTAGATCTGCAACATCTCCCTGTGTCCCATGCATTGTCTCTCACCCATGGTGTCCTCCTTGTTGACATGTCTCCTGCCACCACAGAGCGCATCACACAGACAGTGGAGATCACCAAGCACGTGGTGGACATCGAGGAGAAGGGAGTCAAGCTACGCCTGACCATTGTGGACACACCAGGCTTTGGTGATGCTGTCAACAACACTGAGTGGTGAGTTCCCTGGGGCTGAGGATCTCCCCAGGGTGGGCACACCATGGTGGGTGCTCTGAGGAGGGGAATGCCTGTGGCTCCTTGGGCTGAGATGCTGAGCCATGGGAGATGTTGAAGGTGGGGCTCCATGTGAAGCTCAGATGTTCCACAGAGGACTTGATGGTCACCTCACTGTCCCCACAGCTGGAAGCCAGTGGCTGACTACATTGACCAGCAGTTTGAGCAGTATTTCCGTGATGAAAGTGGCCTCAACCGGAAAAACATCCAGGACAATCGTGTCCACTGCTGCATCTACTTCATCTCACCCTTCGGCCATGGGTACAGGCAGCTCCTCCCTGCACTGCTGGGATGGTGGGGCTGGGGAGGGGCTTGGTGGGATGGGGCTCACTGGGTTCCTCACACAGGCTCCGGCCCCTGGATGTGGAGTTCATGAGAGCCCTGCACCAGCGGGTGAACATCGTGCCTGTGCTGGCCAAGGCTGACACCTTGACCCCTACTGAGGTGGAGCGCATGAAGAACAAGGTAAGGAGAGGTTGAGCCAGCCTGGAGACAGCCTAGCAGGGGGTGGGGGTACCCTGGGGGCTCTCTCCATCTCCAGACACCCTGCAGCATTCTTCATGCTCACGGTGCTGTAGTTGGGCAGATCCTCTACCATGTTGCCCCCACGGCCACCAAGGATGCACCTCCCCTGTGCTCAGCTTGAAGGGTCTGGGGGGATGTCCATGACTGGGGCTTCTGGGGGACATTGGCACTGTGTGGTGCCTCCCACCCCCTCCCCATGGGCTGGAGCCTTGCCCTCAGGAGTCTGTCTGCCTCCAGATCCGGGAGGAGATCGACCACTATGGCATCCGCATCTACCAGTTCCCCGAGTGTGACTCAGATGAGGATGAGGAGTTCAAGCTGCAGGACCAGGCGCTGAAGGTGAGTCTGGCTCATCCAGCTCCATCTTTGGAGGAGCAGAACCCTGTGGCCAGGAGGACATGTCATCCTGGGGTACCTGTAGGACTCTTTGGGGCCACACAAGATCTCCAGCAGGCCCAGCATGGAAGGGCTGATACATAGTGACCTATCCAGATATGTCACCAAGATCCCACAGGTGCCAGGCTCAACCCCCTGTACCTGCTACCATGAGGGTGAAGTTGAAGCCCTTCTTCACTGACTTCTGATGCACCTGGCTGGGCAGTGTGGCAAAGCCTGGCTGGGCAGAGAGAGGGGCTGCAGTCACCTGGGAGCCTCACAGAGCTCTGAGTCACCAGAACACCCCATCTGGGCTGTGACTGTTCCCCCTTACCTTCAGCATTGAGCAGCTTGTGGTCCCTGTACATGTCCATCAGGAAGAGCCTGTTGACCAGGGTGGACTTGCCCAACCCAGATTCCCCTGGGAAATGGGGAAAAGGGTGAGAGGGAGCAGCCAGTACCCCCTTACACTGCATTCCATGGTGTTTGGGATCCAGAGTGGGGTCAGAACACCCCAGGCCAGGCTCGACCCCCCTGTACCTGCCACCATGAGGATGAAGTCAAAGCCCTTCTTCACCTACTCTCAATGCACCTGCTTGGGCAGTGTGGCAAAGCCCTTGTCATCCTGTAGGTAGAGAGGACATGGCACAGGGGATAACACCATCTCACCCCTTATCCTGCCAGGTTCCCTCACCTCTGGAGGGATCCCCAGGGTTGGAATGCCATGGGACGAGGTTATGAATCTCTGGGGCTACTCAAGCTCTCTAGCATGGAGGGGCTGGTACATACTGTGCTCGCCAGACATGTCACCACTATCCCACAGGTGCCACCTGCAGCTTGGTGGCATTGTACTGATGTGGAGAAACCCATGCCATGACTGCTGCCATGGGATATCTTGGCAAACAGATGCTGGATACAGCTGAGGAGATGCATGTGGAGGGATTCGGGCATAGCAGGAAGGACCAAACCCTGCTAACCCTCAGAATCCTCTTGCAGGAGAGCATCCCCTTCGCCGTCATCGGCAGCAACACCATCGTGGAGGCCAAGGGCCGTCGTGTCCGTGGGCGCCTCTACCCCTGGGGCATTGTGGAAGGTAACACTGGGCTGTCCCCACCATCCCCTTGACCTCTTGGGGATGGGGATATTGTCTTGTCTCCATGCTGCTCAGCCCTGGGAGGGAGGTTTGAAAAGATGTAGGGGCTGGCTGTGGCCCCCTGACCTCGGGCTCCCCTGCAGTGGAGAATCCAGCCCACTGTGACTTTGTGAAGCTGCGGACGATGCTGGTGAGGACACACATGCAGGACCTCAAGGATGTGACCAGGGAGACCCACTACGAGAACTACCGCACACAGTGCATCCAGAGCATGACCCGCATGGTGGTGAAGGAGAGGAACCGCAAGTATGGGGCCTGGAGTTGGGAGATCAGCCTGGGGAGGGCTGGGAGGGAGTGGTTTTTCTGGGGTCTCTTTGGGGGGACCTCAAAGTGGTGGTCTCAAGGGGTTGGGGTTGTGTGTGGGTCCATGCTGGCCTCAAGGCTGTAGTAAGGAGCCCTAGTGGGCTCCGTAGTGGTGGGAGGTCCTTGCTGTGGTGAGGATGGCTTGAGGGGATGTTCTGTCAGTGAGGGGACACTGTGTCCCCCCAGCTTGGGTCTGTCTTAGTGGGGGATACTACAGCAACAAGAGGGACACTCTGTCCCCCAGGGCTGAGTCTATCTTAGCAGAGAATAGTGTCCCCCTTGTTGCTGGAGTAAGACCCAACTATGGGGGACAATCGTAGCAGGGAATACTCCAGCAACAAGGGGGACCATATGTCCCCCAGAGCTATCTGAGGGGATGCTCTGGTAGGAAGGGGGACCTGCATCTCCTCAGGGCTAGGGCTGGCTTGGGGGGGATGTTCCAGTAGTGAGGGGGGACACTATGTGCCCTCAGGGATGGGGTTGGGTGTGTGCTCTAGCAGCAAGGGGAACTCTGTGTCCTCCCCTGAGCTGGGTATGTCTCAGGGATGCTTCAGCAATGAGGAGAATCCTGCATCCTCCTGGGGTGAGATGCTCCAGCAGTGAGGAAGACCCTGTATCCCCCCTGGGGTGGGTTGTTGGAGGGGATGCTCCATCAGTGAGGAAGGATCCTGTATCCCTGAAGGCTCCAGGGCCCG